AAAAACAAATTTGAAACAAAACAGTTCTTTTAAAAGAACTGTTGAAACCGACCAGTTCCTCTGAAAGAACTGTTGATACAGTTCAGTTCCTTTCAAAGAACTGTTTAGTAAAGTTTAGTTCTGTTCAAAGAACTGTTAGTTCAGTTCAGTTCTATTCAAAGAACTGTTGGTTCAGTTCAGTTCTATTCAAAGAACTGTTGGTTCAGTTCAGTTCCTATCAGAAGAACTGAACTGGTAGTTCTTTTGACCAGTTCATCCGAACTTGGAACTATGAACTGTCCTACCCCTACTTGTAATACTATTTGGTGAAAGTAAATTTTTAATTAATTTATTTGTTTGTTCTTCAACCCATGCATTAATTGTTTGAACAACTTTAGCGCTATCATTTTGAAAATCTTCAAGTTTAATATCAGCTGAAAAAGAATTTTGAAGTTGATTTAAATAATCTTGTTGAAGTTTATAGGCTTTTTGGGCATATAGACGATTAGCTAATTTAAGTTGAACTTGTTTATCTTGATTAGCGATAGAAAAAACACGCATAACTTGTTCAGCTGTATTTGTTAATTGAGTTGTTGACGATGCTTCTAATGCTTTTAACATTTGATTTAATGTTTCTTCTCGAGCACCTACTGTACACATTGCCATAGCAAGTACAATACTGATCGGTGAAAAAAATATATTTTGATCTTTTTGACCTTCATTAATAGCTGAGTAGAGTTTGAGGCCAAAATGTTCGAAACCATTAATTGGTGTTAATGATGATAAAGTCATGTTTCTTGAATGTATACGAGGAAATAATAAAGAAAGTCTGCTGTATTTTTACTCTTATATATTATGATTTCTTTATCAATATTTGTTTTGGCTATATTTTGATGATTCAGAATATGAAAGAAGTGATATATCAAGATTAAAGAAAACTAGACAGTATAATAGCAACTTAATGTTTTTTTAATAAATGGAATATATAAAATAAATAGCAAACAGAGCTGATTGGCAGGTTTTTTAATAATAATAAACTCGACAGGTAGTTCCAGCGTTTTAATATATGATTCACATGTCTACAAAGAAAAAAATTGCTTCATTGTCAGAAAATAATCATTGAGTGAATGCGTCGCCAAATATTGATTTATCTATAAACAATTAATATTTAGCATGTAGGGCACCAACCTGCAAATTTCTATGTGTCATTTAGAAAAACGCTTGTACAGCCACAAAATGTTCTTATAATCCATAGAAAATGCAATTGTAGAGATATTTTATATAATTCAAATAATGGGTGGGTGTGGGTGAGAGTGTAGGTATGAGTCTGAAACACAACAAAGATAGCCACACGTACCCAGACCTACACTCTCAAAATAAGTCGCACAAGACTACATGAATGCTGTGTTTCGCACTGCATTAAAGATAGCATGAAACTTCTTTGTACAATTTTATTCATGATTTCAAAGTAGAAGTAGAGTAATATCCAACTTATTCTTATGATTAATATTTCAAATGATAAAAGCGCGTTTTTTTCGTGTAAAAGAGAAAATTTCAGACATAATTTCTAAGTTTTATATCTTCAATGATTCGATCACGAATCTCTCATAGCAAAGATGAGCAAGTATATATGTAATATATTTATTCCTATTTAAATAAAAACTATCGATAAAAACAGATTATTATTGAATTTGATGATACAACTCGTGCATGGAATGATTGGAAACATGGAAATATAATTCATAAATCACCTGTTCATGAACGATATATTATATCGTTATCAGAATGTACGAAAATGTATATGACACATAATAATTCACTCGAAACTTCTGATCAATCGATATCAACAGAATCTATTGATATACCATCTCTTATTAAAATTAAACCTGAAATACAATTAAATTGTTATATATGTCATAGCTATCAAAATCAACTTTATCCATGTCGTATATGTGGAAACGTCTATCATCAACAATGTATTAAAGATATTGGAAATATTAAATCTTATCATCTAATTAAAAATGCTACTAATTTAATAGGTTATTGAATTGATATAAAAGATATTTTCTTTGTTTAAAATGATATTTTTTCTAAGGATGGAGTTGTCCTATATGTGAAGATCTTCGAACACTTCTATCAATAGAAGAATTAGCTGAAACAAATGTAAAAAAATAACTTTACTTTTATTTTTTTTCTATTTATGTTTATTTCAGGAATGGATAAAATCATTCGGTACACAAACTATTTTTAATCTTGATAATTATATAAATACTCGTACAAAATTAACTTCATCAAATGAATTAAATAATCATATGAAAAATACATTACAGTAAAATATTTTGTTTTTCTTGTAAAATGATTTATTTTATACACAGAATATTTCTTCATACAATTGCTGATATAACATCAAATCGATTATCTCAAATAGATTTATTAAATCTTGATATTAGTTTGAAAATTCTTCGTATATCATCAAAATTTCTTGTTAATTCATTGACATCATTTGAACTTTATCGTCTCAGTCAACTTTTTCTTTCATTATCATCAATAGATAATCCATCGATTACACAGAATAAATTTCATCAAATTTTTAATAACTATTTTTTAACAACAATGCCTGAACTGAATTCCGATGAAAAACATTTACGTAAATCTACGAAGCAAAGATTTATTTCCGAAAAAAATCTATGTTTTAGATTTGAATGCATTAGCATATTGTATATTAGGTAATACGATGAAATTCGATCGAACATGGAATCAATTCATTCTCGATGTTACTATTCCGACATTACTTGGAAGATATAATCATCGAACACCATCCGATTTTATTAATCGAATTATTTCAATTAAATATTCAACTGCGGATTTTAAAGAATATGAAAATAGACAATCATTATCTATACTAATGAATAATATTCTACAAAAACTAACACAAACAACTGAAAATGAAAGTAAATCAATAAATAAACAATATAGAACAAGAATAAATAAGAAATTATTGTAAAATAAAAGAATATTCTAAGGGATTTGGTGTTAAATGTCGAAAAAAAAGAAGGCAAATGTCGAAAATGAAGTTTTTGATTTTTATTTTAATATAATACGATGGGTGTGGGTGTCTGTGTGGAGAGAGTCTGGGTATTTGCTAAAGGAAGAGATCTCGACGCTCACACCCATACCCCAGTGGCGGATTTAGGGGGGGCGATCGCCCACCTCCTTCCGATTTTTTTTCTACTTTTTATAGCAGAAATGAATGAAAAAATAGGTTCACACTACTTCGATTGCACTCAAAAAATAGCTTTTAGCCAAAATCGTCCCCCTCCCCAGGTATCGCCCCCCCCCTTCCAAAGTCCTAGATCCGCCACTGCCGTACCCACACCCTCAATATGATCTTTACAGCCGGTGCGATTACACTTGACAGCAATAGCCAATAGTAATTGCAATAATAAAATAACGAACAGTATACACATCTTTTTAAAATCATTTTTTTGTATATTTTCCTTTTCGACGTTTTCCGTCAATCCCATTCTAGGTCATCTGTATTTACTCGATAATATAATTTTTCTATTATTCTATTTATTTTATGATTATTTATATTCAATAGATCTTTTCAATAATGATTAATAAAAATGAATTCTATAAATATAATTTGTCTCTTATGCATTAGTACTTTAACATCTGTTTTCTTTCTTGATTAAGACTGAACTTATTTACACGTAGCACGTGTCTATACACGTGTTGATTACATCATTTTGAACAAAAATTATAATCATTAACATCTCAATATCAATATTCGAATTCTTATTTACTTCATTTAAAATAATAACAAACTATGCCATCAAATTTTTAAATTATCTATTATATTATAATAGACAGATCGAAGAATAATATGACATAATAATAAACATATTGTATTACTCGAAAGAACCCTGGAACAATTATAATAGTATCTTATAAAAATCTTTTCAGCAATATTATATCTGGAATAAATTCTTCTTCTATTTACTCGCAATACTTCAGGATGTATTCTCATCATGTAATAACATTTGACTATATCATACTAAAACATATTATTATTATTACAAATAAAACAGAAATATATAAGTTAAAATTATGACAATGACATTTTACATGTACAAACGAATATTTATGTATATATATATATAT